GCGGTCTAGTCCGGTCTAATCCGGCTAATGCGGTCTAGTCCGGTCTAATCCGGTGTAATCGCGGGTCCGTTGTTTATAGTGTATTGGTTTGCGCAGTTACGTATAGCACCGCTTCGAATATGTCAAAAAGTAGTTCCGAATATGAAATCCCAGGTTTGTAGTGGATGATCTAACCGCTGATCGAGACGCGCATGAATGCAGCAAACTGCCGCCATCGATCTACATCAAAAGGCTCATCTAAAGTCGAGCTGAAAATTGCTTACGCTGTTACGAACGCAAGAAGTGTTTGAGCGCGCACGAAGTAAGATGACGCGAGTTCACTCAGCCGAGAAATTCAAGAGTCCTCGAATCCTCTACGTCGGCACGCAATGCAAACGACGTTCACTTTCTCTCGCCGAGCCTCGGTGAGATTTCGGTTAATGGCCGGTCGGTCTACTCCCATTTCGTCTACTGCAAAATTCTCATTTCGTCTAGAGCAAAACCCCCCCATTCGGTCTACACCCATTAGGTACTATTCTCACCAGGTAGATGAAAGTAGACGAAATGGCACTATTAACCATTCTGAGATTAGACGAAATGGGAGCAGACGAAATTGGAGTAGACGAAATGGGAAGTAGACGAACTGGGAGTAGACGAAACGGGAGTAGACCAACCGGGATGTTACCGACATTTCTAGATGCACAATGAAACACTCTGCGTGGTCACGAGTTTCGCCTGTAAATGTGTGTCGCGGCTAATAAAAAAGTCAATATTGTGACGCCGTGTATACGCCGACTAGCGACATATTTGCCCGCTGTAACACGGGTAACGTGATATGCATAAGAGCATAATATGTCACATACAAAGCGAGCTAGGTCATCTCATTTGTACAGAAACACAACTGATGCAGAATAAACACAGGTCATGGTCATATCGTGTATACAGGAACAACAAAAGGCATGTCATATATACAGGGACAACATAGTTCATGTCATATATATATATATATCAAGAGTGCATAATAGATCTCTATTATGCACTCTTGATATATATATATATA